AGCGCCAGCGTCCGCCAGCGCGGGACCCGCTTTCGGAAGTGGCCTCGCGCCTCCTCAGCGAATCTCGTCCGCACGTGGCCCGCGGGGCCCCCGACCTGTCCGGGCTGTCGACAGCGTCGCCCCTTTTCTCCTCCCTGCTTTCCCGCCTCCTCCCCTCCCCCGCCGCCGAGACGCAGCCGACCTTTGACCTCACGGCCGCGACCTCACGCCGGCTCCCGTCGCCCGTCCCCCCTTCCACAATCGCGTCAGCCTCCTCACCTCCCTCTCGCGCCTCGGCCTCTGCCAGCACCGGCACCGCGTTTCCGACCGCGGGGCACATCGCGTCCGTCACCTCCCCGGACTCCGCCACTCACGGCGCCTCCTCCCCTCGTGCCGCTCGCAGCTGGTCCTGGGCAGCGGCTCTGGCTTCGTCCCTTCTTCTCCTGGGAGGGTGGTGTGGGGTCTCAGGCCTGCGCGCCCGTCCTGCCTTCCCCACCGCACCCCCAGTCACCCGGCCTCCACACTGTCCCTGACCACCTAGAGGTGTCGCACGCTGCCTCCCGGCCGCGGTTCCTGCTCTGACCGCACAGCTCGGCCGGCCTCAGTCCGCTTCCCCCGTCTCATCCCCCTGGTTCGCTGTCACTGCCGTGTTCAGGACACAATGCCCCGCGGGGCCCAGGCTTTCCTCGCGGGCGCACGTGGCCTCTGGCCAAAGCCTTCCCCCCAAGTCCCCACGCCAGGTCCTCCGCAGGGCTCTCCAACGTCTCCGATCCCACGAAGCCTCTTCCCTCTGCCCCGCTGCCCCTCGCCGCTGGCGCTCACCACCTCTGCCTGTCGTTTCGTTTTCCGTGTGTCTCCGTTTCCCCCGGGCGGGCCGCGAGGCCGGGGTGCCGGGCCTGTTACCTTTGTGGGTTCCGTAGAGGCGATGGATAAAGGCACGGACGTGGTTCCAGCAAGACCCTAAAAACCACGAAAATCAGTCTTTCCTTAGAAAACTAGCCTGAAACGTCGCTTGCTCAGCGGAGCGAGAGCAGAAGTCGTAGCCGCGAGCCGCCTTCCGTCTTCGTCGGCCCTCACGCGTCATTCCGAGTCGCGCCCTCGTCCACATCACGGCGACGGTGCTGGCCAGACGCTCGCTTTGGTACCAATTTTCTCCAGACTGTGAGAAATCAAGTCAACTGGGCCGTGTAGCGTAGTCTCAGAGTCCACGTTTCGGCAGGACCTCAGGCGACCGCTGGGCCTGTCGCGCTCACCGCCTGCGTGTCCCCACTGCCACCCACCACCCCCCGGAGCTCCTGCCTCGCTTCCCGGTGCCTTTGTCGGGGGGCAGAACTGTGGCTGTCGAGAGCAGCCGACCTGCCCGCTGCCGGAGGCGTGCCGTGGGGAGAGGGGGTCTCTCACGACCTGCTGGGTACCGGGGTGGGGCAGAGCCCAGCACCCCAGAGCCTTGGGGTTCCCCTCGCACAGCGGACAAGCTTTGGTTTTTTTCAGAGGCTTCCTATCAGTCTTACAAACTACACATACGAATGGGCAGTAGGTTGCTTTTTTGTTCTAGAAAAGACACTGGCGAGAAACGAGACTCGAACAGAAGCAAGAAACATTGAGATCAGTTAGGGAGGAAATCCAGCTGGTGAGACGTAGGAAGCCTTTGTGTGTGGAAAACAAAATCAGACTTGTAATTAGACAAATGTCTACGCTGCTGAGATGTGAGTATTTACGAGCTTGGAGTGCGGAGAAAGGCTTTCTAGAAGATTAGGAGAAAAAGATGGTGTATAACGTTTGACAGCGGGGAGTTAGCTCATCTGTATGGGTGAAACTCCCAGAGACTTGAGGACGCACAGCGTTTAGGGACGCGCTCCCCTGTCGAGCATCTCAGCGTGCCGACGAGGAGCGGGGCCTGGCGTGACGCCCCCGACCAGAGGAGAACCCGGCTTTCGACCCAGCCGCAGGGCTGCTCCTGCGATACCGTGGGTGGAGGGGGTGGTGGTGGCTGCCGGAGAGATGTCAGTGGTGCAGAGATGGAGTCAACATAACCCAGAACAGACCGGGGCTGGTCTCTGCCGACTTCATTATCGACACCCCTCTCCCCCCCAAGATCAGAGTACATCCCTCCATGTGGCCGACGTGGGCTGTGGCCTTGGTGTGAAAATATAGCCCCAGACAAACGGGCAGGGACACGCTCATCTGTCCGGAGGTTTGGACACTGCTTTTTAACAGCTTCTCTTTGCTGCTTTGTAACATGTACTTAAAGGGCATAAGAGATGAAGGAAGGGGTTACAACCTGGACCGACAAGCGGCAAGCCCACCGAGAAGTAGATGGGGAGTAGAAGAAGGAACATCATCCGTAAGGCAAAATAAAAATAAAGAAATAGCACGTCGTCGTGGGCATCGATACTTTTTGAAAAAATTCAGGGACAGTAATTCATTTAACAAGCATTTGTGGGGTGCCGTCTGTTTTCCGGGCACAGTTCTGGGCACTGAGGGCCCAGCCCGGAGAGCAAGTGGACGGAAGCCCCTGCCCTCCAGAAGGAGACGCGGCGCTCACTACCCGTTAAAATGCCAGTCCTGAGGTCCATCCCACCTCCAGATTTGGGTGGAGCTTTAACTAAGTTGAAAAATGTATAACATCTCCAATTGCATATAGGTGTGATTTTAACGATTGTTGCCTTTTGATTTCTAGGGAGAAGAAAATGGGTTCGCGGACGGCGCTGGAGACCCCCTTCCAGGTAATGACTCTGAGGCCGTCTGGGCTTCGGCGCTGGCTAGCGTGGCTGCGTGAAAGATGACAGTCTGTGTACCATTAACTGTGACAATCCATATTACAGACCAGAGACACTTTCCAACCACACGCCATGGCGAACTGTAAGGAAATCTTACAGGGTTTCACAAAAGCCTTCGAAGTGTTTACTCTGAGTTAACCCTGCTTTGCTCGTGAGGGGCCCAGCATGGTTCTCATCTGGCCTGATGTAGCATCAGGCAGAACTGGGCAGGCCGACCCCCCTCCCCAAGTTCTGGGAGCCATGGCGTTGGCAGAGAGCTTGGCCGGGTGACTCGGCCAGGAAGGAGAGAGCAATGGGATGCGGGCAGAGCGAGTCGGGGCCGGGCCAGCCCAGCGCCCAGCACCGCTGCCCTGGACACTGAGCCGGCCAGAGCCGCCCGCCCGACGCTAGGCCACGTGCCGTTCCCCACCCGTTTTGCTCTTTGTGTGTTTAGCCAAAGAAGCATTAAATGTGTCCCCCCTTCTTTCCTCGTAAGACAGGCCCTTTGGCAATGTTTAGACTTTTTATTAATCATGGAAAAATATGCAGTGAGCATTAAAATAAACTGCCAACATAATAATGAAAAGAAAAACATAAACCTTACCCACATTTTCTATATTTTTAATAACATATTGAATGACCTGAGTCATGAGGGCCTCGTTTCTTTCTTTCTTAAGGGGAGGGGTGGGGGACCCATAAAACCCTTAGACAATCTGTCATCAACCCGGGGAACTGTGCTCAAAATTAGACATATGGTACTTAACACCTGTTTTGTTCATAGAACTAGGATGCTAGCTCTGGGTGGTGAGATCCTAGCTGATTTTTTTTTCATCAAACAGCTCTTTATTTATTAAAGACCCAGCGCGTGCCAGGCTCTCTAAGAAGGTCTGGTATCAAAGTACAGCTGTGGGAGATGGAAGTTGGGATTCTGGTTTCAGTTCAGCCACTAAATGGCTGTGATGAGAAAAATCAAGGGACGAGTTGGGCCAGGCGGACCTCGGATGGGGTCTTGCCAGCAGATGTCAGGGGACAATGATTAAGGACGTCCTTAACAGCCTGTGACTTGCCTGGGTGGTGAGGGCATGCGTTTTTTTCCCCATGTGCTCACTTGAATGTTCAGATTTTCTGTGACAAGCACATATTTCTATTCTAATTGAAAACAATCCGTGTTTAAACTTTTTAAGGGCTAACCCCACACACTGATGTGAATTGTCAACTAAAATGAAAATGTATGAAGCGAGGTATTTAGGATTATCTATAAACACTTATTAATTCATGAATTAACTTCAACCAGATTTCAGGGTGTCTCTAAAAAATGTTACCTGCGTCCGAATAAAACGGAGGACTAGCAAAGAGAATACGCCATTCGCAGTGATGGCAGGTGATCCCGTGGGGAGCAGACGCTGCTGTTGAATCACCGTCAGCCCCTAGCCTGTGCTTTGCACGCAGGAGCGGTCGGTGTTCGGTGGCTTGGGTGTGTGATTTTGTTTTTCATAAACAAATAAATGAGAGACGGTGACTTAATGGCATTGCTTTTGGATGCACTGGCAAAGCAGAGTGTGTATTTTGTCCTTGAACGAGAGTAGCGACTCGAGATCTGTTTTATTGTTTTACTTACAGACACGTTTTAGCATTTGCTACGTAGCAGGTGTCTTCGAAGCGCTTTGCACACGTGCTTAGAAAGAAGTGCTCCTGTGCGTAGGCCCAGTCGTTTCCTTCACCAGGCGGGTGCGAAGGAAGCAGAGCGGGGCGACGTGTCTGGAGCTCGGCCACCCGGGTCCTGAGTGGGGTCCCAGCCCTAGCCCAGCCTGGCGCCCACACCCAGCCACCTCCCAGGCCACTTCTGCTGGCCACTGCACCTCGCGTGCAGCACTCGCCACATGCCTGAGTGTCCTCAGGGGCCGAAGGTCAGATTCCAGCCAGTTTGGACTGAGTCTTCAGCCAGAGCAGGCCAGAATCCACCTTGCCACCGGACAACCTTTCACAAAAGCTCGCTCCTGTCCCTCGGCCCTAACTCAGCTTGGCTTTATTGAGTCTTGTAGTTTGAAAACCTGAAGTTACCTGTGATCCAGTTTATCGCTGGTTAGGACAAGCAGGATGGGGAGGTAGGAGTTAGAAATGACAGCCGATCGTGTGTAGTCAAGGAAGCAAAAGCATGCAGTTCGGGATTACCTACCACCCGGAAAGCAAAGCCCCGTTGTGGTAGGTGCAGAAGCCAGGGCCCTGGGGGCAGAGGCCACAGAGATATTCAGAGTGATGCCTCCGAGTCAGACGCCACCCCCAAGTGATGCTCAGCGAACCGTGTTACAGGAGACGTTAACGTTTGACAGTGTTTTCGTGCAGAATTTCAAAATGCAAACATTTGGGCGCTGAAGGAATAAGGCTCAGTACCAAAGTGGAAAATGTACACCCTCCTCTTGTACTCCCAGCTGGTGTGATGGGCGTCACACGGACCGTGACGCGTTCTGCACCTGTTCTCGACAGGTGCCAGTTGTTCGGGAGTGACTTTCTGACCACCTTGCACAGTTCAGCACTGGCCAATCTAAACCTAATTTCCCCATGGAAATGAATGTAAAATAGGATTTTCATTTTTTTCAATTATGTCCATAAAGTGACACTTTGTTAATATGTTTGTGTCACATAATTTCACAATTCGTGTAAAATTCTGTGCTGAATTTTTACCTGGGTCCTTTTTTCACGAGTTTTTTTATGTGCCTTTTACACGCCAATTTTGTTTGATGACAAAATCGAGACCCAGCTTGATTTAGCAGCCTGCAGCCATCCAATTTGTCAGACTGCCCAGGGCTGCCGCCAGCTCAATGTCTCCTTAAAAGGATGTTTTAGAGAGAAAATGAAATCGTATTGTTTTCCCCGTTAGTTAAGATCAAACACCCACCAAAAACCCTTAGGTCACTTTCTGGGTGGATAAAACTAATTCATCATTTTCCAGTTCCCAACATTAACTAACGATCTCTGATGCATAATGCGCCCCAATGATTTGTCAAAGCCACAAACTGACATTTTCAACTTATTTCCAACCACACTGGAAAGCACACAGAGAGAAATAGGAATTTATACCCTTAGTAAACATAACTGCAGAAGTATTTGACTCTACCGTGACACTCGGTATTTCACGGCTCCAGATCTGATCATTTATAGACGCCTCTGATAGAATTATTTTATTCAGGATCACAGCGTTTTGCTATTTGTGAAGTTGCCAGTAGAAAATGTTTATTGTGTAACTGTTTGAACTAACTCAAGACCTGTTTGTCCTGGGGAACGTTATTATAAATGATCTGACAGCGAAGAACGATGCTGAGCCCTGTGGAGGAAAACACCATGTGCTAACAGCTCTCGAAAAACCCGGTGAACAAGATACAACAGCACCTCCCCTGCAGGGGGGCCCATTAAACAGCCTCTGATCCACTGCCAGCATCCTGACTGGAGCCCTTCTCTAGGCTCAACTAATCATGACCCCTGTGAATTCTGAATCTTGTTCCAGTCCACAATTAACTGTTAATTGACCAGTAGTCTATAATCTACCAGCCCCAAACTTTAGTTAGACACCACGCCCTTGGATGTGGCTATTTGTCACAGTTGTTTTAGTGACTTAGACATACCTGGTCGGAGACTGTGCTTGATTCCCGAACTCTAAGGTATAACGAAAAAGATGTGAGAGGGGACGGGGGTGTGTGTGTGCGCGTGCGCGTGCAGAAACGGCCAATAGCAACACGCATTCGTCTGCCTGTGAGTGCGGGGAGGTGTTACCTGTCCGGCAGACGTGGCGTCTCACCGTGCACTAGGGCGAGGCTTTGGTGGGCGACCTCATTTAATTCTGTCAACAACCATGTGAAATAGGTGTCGATCTCTCTGCTCAGAGTGAGGATGCGGCCTTGGCGAGCTCGGTGACCTGTCCAAGCCGCCCGCTTGCATGGCGTTCCGGGTGTTGGTGGCCGGCATGCCTCCGGAGGTCCCGATGTTCGTCTGGGTGGCACACGCTGTGCCCTTCTCCGTTGTGACCCGCAATCGTTCTGCCGTGTGTGTGCTCAGCACTCGGTTTCAGTGAGTTTGAAAATTTCTGGATAGCGCCTCCCAGGCTGCCCAGGGTTTTCTGATTCGATGTTTCTCTGTGTCACACTTTTCATTCATTTGATTTACTCGACATATATTATTGAGCGCCTTCTGTGTGCTGGAATGAAGTGGTGACATCAGACGTCAAAGTCCCTTTCCTCTTGCAGCTTATATACTAGTTAGGAGTGACAGACAATAAATGCAAATAAGTAAGGAATTGCACGTGGCCGTAGATGCCTTGAGTATAGATGAAGGTAATGGGAATTTTCCTGGTGGAGGAGGCTGCCGCTTTAGCTACGAAGGAACACGGGGACCAAAATAATGCAGAGGAACCAGCTGTGTGGAGAGACTCCAGGGAGAAGACCTGGCTGGCGCAAAGGTCCCGAGGCAGAGCGGAGCCCAGTGTCGCAGGGACCAGTGTGGGCCGCGAGGAGCAGTCAAGGAGGTGAGCTGGGGGGTGGCCGCAGAGGCCAGACGACATGTGTGCCCTCCTTCTCAGGCTCCTTAAAAGGAAATGCAAAGCCTCACATCTTCACATAACATGTACGTGACTTGACAAAAATGCTTTCACGTCATTTGATTTAATCGATGAGGTACAGGAGTCAGTACAGAGGAGAGACCTGACGTCCGCAGACGTTAGTGCCGTGAGAAGTCAAGCTCTGGGAAGCTGGGGCGCTGGGACCTGATGAGCCCCACGGACACAGATCCAGAGCGGGGGGTGATTGAGGGTCATGCACGTGAAGGACTCAGTACAGGGCTGGTCAGTTCTTCCTTAGTATGAGGCAGTATTCAGACTGGACTCACAGAGGGCAGGTTCTTCCAGCGTTTTGGCCTCTCAAATAAGAAGTCGTAAATTGAGGGTGTGTTTCGTTCTTGCTTTGTTTGCATTAGTAGAA